GAGTCAATACCTGCCAAGACAACATCTGCCGAGTCAGTCCCTGTCAATTCAACACTGTCCAATCCAATACCTGCCGATTCAACATGTGCTCAGTCAACATCTGATGAGTCAACAATTGCACATTCAACAGCTGCTGATTCAGAATGTACTCAGTCAACCACCAATGCTGAGTAAATACCTGCCAATCCAATATCTGCTCAGTCAAGAATCGTGGATTCAACAGCTGCTGAATGTAGCAATGTCTCTACAGTAAGGTATGTGTACTGCCCTGTATCAAATGCCAGTGTCTTGGCAATGAACTCTCACTTTATTACCTGTATTGCATTCACCTGCTTAGGTTATTGGCTGACACATGTATATAAGATATTTGGTGAGTGAGTATATTTTGAAATTTTAATAGTATTCTACTCAAATAAAGGTAACCCTCAATTTGCGCCGCTTTTGAAACCAGCAAGTCAAAAAGTGGAAAAAAATTATATATTTTACTATTATTTATAACGTTTTACAATGTTTCTCGTACTGATTCTTATACTAAATCGTAATTCTTACATCGCTGATTTTGAATAAAAATTATAAATGCAGTCACCTATGCACTCATTGCTAAGTAGTTGCAAGATAATCTCCTAAAAATCTGCCAGCATTGCACAATAGTCACGTGAGCATTGGTCACTCTTCACGGTGAGTCATTTGCGTTCAGTCTGATAAGGGAGTAAGGAAAAATGCGCCCAGTTTGCTTCTTGTTGACACATTGAATGTGCTGAATGTGTTTGTGTTGTTGTTTGACCACTATTCTGCAGTAGCAACTGTTTTATATTTATAAATTGTAGAAGAGCCACCATGTCTGGTAAGAGAAGTGAATGTGTTGCTAAAAAGTTGCGTAGGTCAAACACGTTAGAAGATACGTAATTCGTAGAGTAGAAGGTGGTGATACCCGTCGTAATGTGTGCAGAAGTATGAAGTTGCCTCCTTCCACTGTGACTACCATAATGAAAAATTCATATAAAATAAAACAGTCAATAACAGGCGACGAGAGTAAGTGCTATGCAAGTGAGTTATAGCAGAAGTAAATAAATTTTACAACAAGAATTTAAGTTTTTGCCGTTTCGGTGTGTTACCATCTACAGTGTATAGACGCTCAAATTCAACTTCGTAAAATTCGCCAAAAACAGAACAAAATAAGAAATTAGTACTTGGCATCATAACATATATTAATATATTCAGTATTAAACCTTGATCGGATACGGTAATACTTCTGAATCACCTCCAGACACAACTGTGTTGTCTACTATTTCATCTCTGACCGATGTAAACATCAAAAGCATCACTTCAAACAATAAAGTTGATCCATTATATGAAAATATCTGGACACGACCTCCAAAAAACTACACTACGAAAGAGATATCAACTGTGTGTTTGTGGTTAGTGAGACCAGTGTCCAGGTATCTACAGCTTCAACAAAATACCTTCTTCTTCTCAAGCTCTAGAGTCCACTTGTGAAATTTGGCTTCCTTAGGTTTCTTGTTGTTGAAGTGTGCATTTATGAGTAGTGAGTGACCAGCCCATTGACTCTGCACAATTAATCAGGAGACTTGGGTGAGAAATGGCCGCTGAAGTTTGCTTATGAAACATCTTGTATCATGCTCGTAAGGTTCTTTTACATGCTGTAAATACTGCTGGCTTTACTTCTCCTCCAAAGGAAGTTGTGCTATGGATTTTTATCACCCTTAAAAATCCATCGACCTTGGCCGGGTTTGAACCCGCGAACAACAAAATATCTTAGTGTGCTGGAGTTTGTGAAATTGTATGTAGCCTGGTTTTAAGTGGTGTGCTGTCCTGCATGTGATTCCTTTTTTTACCCTGGCATGAAGTATCCTGGCCAAACTCTAGTCTGTAGTGTATCAATGAAACATCCTTTTCTTTAGTCACGAATCATTCCATGCAGTGTGAGAACACTGGAACCTTTCACGTCTTGCATTCATAAAATGTTCATCTTTTTCTCTTTCTTTCTGTTTCTGTTTCCAATGCTAGTCACTCTCTTTTTAACTATGTGTTGTTTTTTCCCAGGTGCACTATGGTGAATGAGAGTTCAGACCAGGCAAATTTAGGACTGAGAGACTAGATTCTTGACAACTATTTAATTCACAGATATAGTGGGTTTGCTGGTATCAGCATCATGGAAGAAGTTTTGGACACCTTGGTCCTAATGGTTACTTTTATGTCAGATGGTTAAAGTTTTTATAACCCCAACCCATCTATGGGAATGGATGACATTTCTGACACTCTTGTGTTTAGTAGTGCATGGACGAGTGCCTGGATGTTGGTCTCGACTTCTGGAGTGGAGCGACCCAGACCTGAGGTCAGACAGTGTCATGCTGGGCCTATAGCAAGGACTGACAGTAGTACCTCCATACATTGTGCTACCATTTTGACATTCTTGGAGTAGGGTCTGGATCATTGAGATGGTTGCCTGATGTATGCTGGTACTGCTGATGGCTTTCTGGTACCTGGGTGTACCCATTTTCTGGTTTTACTTCTGCTCTACTGGGGTTGTAAACTTTATACAATTTTATAAACAATGATGTATTTATAGGATACTTTCGTAATGAGTACAATCAATAAAATCTTCTCGGGCAATCAGCCGCGTTAACTGGTTACCGTAGTAAACAGACGTTTCTGATGTGACTGGATACCTCGGAAGTCGCCTGTGTAACTACCTACTCGAGACCAGTGCACATGTCCGGACCCAGGCCCAAGGAGCTAGGGGGCGGAGTCAAACGCTCGGTTTGTCTGGCTCTGCCTTCTACCTGGTGTTTCCCCAGAGCATGTTTGTCATCGGATACCATGCTCTGCTCAAGGTGAAACCTCCATCCCTATTAAAGTTGTCGGGATGCAGCCGGATCAGGCTGCATCCCGACAACTTGGGGACAGAGTTGGTTCCCGAAACGTCGGTTTACTACGGTAACCAGTTAACGCGGCTGATTGCCCGATAAGATTTTATTGAATGATGTATTTTATTTGTTTTATAGAGAATATATCAATGCAACAAGTTTTTATGCTTTTTAATCTATTTTATTGTACATTTTGTAACACAGACATAATAAAACAGTCTTTCTGTATCAAGACTGGAGAGGTATCGTTGTCATCATTGGCTCTACAGCCTTGTGTGGGCCCAAGTTGGGGGTTGGAGAGATATACTGTTTGGAATACACTGGCATTCCAAAAGTTTCATTCATGCAACATCACATAAGTCCTAATTGCACTAATGTGATCACAAGCAATGGAGTCTAGAGTCAGGCTGTGAATTTTGTTTTGGGTGCATTTGACAGGAAACTGGCTTCAAATACTATGAAGATGTTTTATATTTCATTTACTTTAAGGAAATATTATACTTTCAATGTGGTTTCCAAAGATAATGCTGCAATAAACCGTTGTCCTGTTCAAGAAACACAAGAAAAGTTCATTCTTGTCAACTTTGTCAGGTCATACTAAATTAATAAATAAAGTAAAGCGTCCCACTACATGCCTATGCAGGCACTTGGGGGAGGGGAGCGGAGGTATAGCTCCTACTCTTTCTTGACCTCAGCACCAGATGGGGGTGAGTTGTCAGCATCACGCCCCAGCCATGCTTTACCCCCGGGAAAGGATTCCGGTACCAATTAGACAGGAGGATGGGTGGGCCCCAGAGCCGGTCTGGACGCAGAGGCTAGAGGAAAAATCCTCTGCCCCCTTCGTGGATCGAACCCCGGTCGTCCAGCCCATAGCTCGTCACTATACTGACTGAGCTATCCCGGCTCATATACTACATCAATACATTCCATAATGAACATAATATGAAATATCTCTCCTACAAGGACTTCTCATAGTTTTTCTGAGTGTCTAACTTCCTGGACTCAGTCTGAGGTCAATGGGCTGCTCATAAATAATTTGTAGGGCTAGCTACAGTACATTATGGGTACAATAACTTAAATGGTTGCATTAAAAGATTATTGGGAAAGAACACGTTGAAAGAAATAAAATTACAATTACATAACATCATTTCGAAGCTAGCCCTACAGTTATTATTTAGTGTTCTATCTGACGACAGGTCCATATGAACAGGATCCTTCCATCCTTTTCTCGGACTGGGACCTGTTCATATACGTTCTTGGCAGATGATCCAGAAGTGGTTTGCCATCGCCTTCTTCTGTGTGTGAATGGATGCCACGGAGAAACCGGGGAAGCCCCCGGAGGAAAACTCTGTGTTGCCTAGTATGGGGGTGAAATATGAATATTAAGAGAATGCAAAAGGAGAATTGAAACATCGGAAATGAGATTTCTGATATCAATGTTGGGAGTTACACTAAGACATAAAATGGATTTGAAGATGGAAGAAAACAATGAAACAGAACGGACGGTGGAAGAAATACGAGAATACCAATACAAATGTCATAATCATGTACAGGATGCCCCTTGAATGCCTACGTGACAAACATATTCAATCTATTGAAAAATGGTACACTGGGCCTCCAAGAAAGAGATGGAGATGATTTCTTTCCTCTGAGAAGAGGTCAACATATCCAGTCCTTGAATGGGAAGAAGAAAATAATCCTGGTGTCAACTGAAGGGTTTGGAGGAAGAAGGGCCTATCGCATAGTGTCAGCTTGTCTAACCTATATAGGTAGAAGCTGAATCCTTATTGGCTGGAAGGATGCCATTTTTCATTATTTCATTTGCTTACAATTGCTAGTAAACACTCATCGCTGACTTAGAATGTGTATTTTCTAAAATTATTGAAAATATCAGTGCTGTTTGTAATAAAATATTTGTTTTGGAAAACAAGTCAAAGAAAGAATGATAATTACTGCGGAATGGAAAGACAATAAAATAAAAAAAATTTACGGGCTCAAGGCCAACAGTATGGGAATAGAAAGCGTAAGGTTATGCAGAAGATGGTTAGGACTGAAAATTTAATGTTGCTCCTTGAAATGGCATGGAATTTCAATAAGAGATGAGGAGGAAAGTATCTTCTGTGAATACAACAGCCTGTGTAACTAATCAGCCAGGCAGATTACTTATTTGGGCTATTAAAGAAATTTCCATGCAAACAAATTTATAGAAAAGACATGATATAAGAAGACATATATGTATAGGGCATACAGTACTATGTTGGTGGATCCAAAGTAAGAATGTGTAAGACTGCAAATTGTAATAGTATGGTTGTGAGACATGGTCTCTTATCTTGAAGGAAGAACGTAGATTACAAGCATTTGAAAACAGGCTCCGATGGACTGGTCATGTAGCGCACATGGGGGGGGG